ATTGCCAAAACAACATCAACAACAACAACAACATCATCACCATTGCCAAAACAACATCAACAACAACAACAACATCATCACCATTGCCAAAACAACATCAACAACAACAACAACATCATCACCATTGCCGAAACAACATCAACAACAACAGCAACATCAACAACTACAACAGCGACAACATCAACAACTACAACAACAACATCAACAACTACAACAACAACATCAACAACTACAACAACAACAACATCAACAAGTACAACAACAACAACAACAACATCAACATCTACACAACAACATCATCAACAACAACAACAACAACTACAATGACAACAACAACAACAACAACAACAGCAACTACAACAACATCAACAACAACAACAACAACATCAACAACAACAACAACGACATCAACAACATCAACATCAACAACTACAACAACAACATCAACAACAGCAACTACAGCATCAAAAACAACAACAACAACAGCAACAACAACTCTATTTCCCTCTGTGCCCAGATTCCGTAGCTTGACCACGGCCTTCTTCCGAGATGCTATGGGCTTCCTGCTGTTGTTTGACTTGACCAATGAGGACTCTTTGCTCAACACTCGCAACTGGCTCACACAGTTACAGGTCAGGGTGTGTGTGTGTGTGTGTGTGTGTGTGTGTGTGTGTGTGTGTGTGTGTGTGTGTGTGTGTGTCTCACGTCCATCTATCTTTGTGTGTGTGTGTGTGTGTATGTGTGTGAGGGTGAGGATTCTCTGCTCAACACACGTCCTGCACTTTATTCACCCAGTTATAGGTCAGGAGGTCAGGAGGTGAGGGGAGGGGGGTGTGGTGTGGAGGAGGGGAGGTGAGGGGGCAGATTCCAAACAATAGAAATGAAGTTTTATAGAGGACTGCTTCTGGTCAAAAGTACAATATAAAGAACAATTGTTTTTTTGTATGTATTTAAATTTTAAAAATTATCAAAAAACCAGTTACATGGTTAGAATTTGAAATTCTTGAATCCGACAGCAACAATGACAACCACAGTCTGTCTGACACTACTACTTTCTAGGAGACAGTGTGCAAGACGTGTCAAAATGTCCCAGAAAATGGATACCCATATTTGGGAGGTGTGCTGTCGGAATGAGTTCATTTTCGGATTTTAACCCTATGGACACTGACAAATTAATCAAAGTTAGCCTATAGGTTTTGTTTGTGCAATTTGTTAATGTATAATATGATAAATGAAATGTTCAACTTAAAGAAAAGTGGCATCAGTTGAAAATCTACCAAATTAGTGTGTCTGTACTCGGCTGACATTTCCATTCGTGGATTGCGAGAAGTAACTCATTTTGTCGGTACATCTTACATTTACACATTTTGCGCCAATGTTGTATTTCGAACTTTGTGCTCATTAATTAATCTTGCACTGTATCAAGAATTTAATGATTCTATTTGGTTTTCAAGCACTCTTTTTCTTCAAAAATGAAACAACATAATTTTAGACAAACACGGTGTGCGACTTTTAACATCGATAGTGGATGGTAGGAGACCTACTTCTTTTTTTTTCCATTTGATGTTTCAGTTTCTGTCTTGCTTTTTTTTTCTTGTACAAAATGATCATTGTTGTGTCGAGTGCTCCTCTTTACTCAAACACACGCACAAACAAACGAACAAACAAACAAATGTTGACTTGTTTCTGTATATGTCTTTATGTGTGTCTCTGTGTGTCACTATATGTGTGTCTCCGTGTGTCACTATATGTGTGTCTCTGTGTGTCACTATATGTGTGTCTCTGTGTGTCACTATATGTGTGTCTCTGTGTGTCACTATATGTGTGTCTC